TTTAGGGTTTAGGGTTTCGGGTCGGCAGGAACCTGCTCATGAAGAGCCGGACCATCAGTGCGATATACTTTCGGGTTCAGGGACTCCTCAATTCCAACTGTAGGGCTTACCTAAAGGCCTAAACGGTCATATCCTACCCCTGTTTAAGGTACCTAGTTTTATGGTTAAGATATAAAAAGTAGGTATCCTAAAACAAGAGGGTAGGGTATGACCCTGTAGGTAGGGCTTAAAATTGACATAAGGATATCTTCCGCTTCCATGCTTTCGATACCCGTCCGCACCTTCCGACATCATTGTTTTGAGGCTTGATACGGCTTCGCAGGGCTAGGGGTTTCCAAGCCGTACAGCTTGGATGTGACGCATGGACAGCTCGGTGCCGAAATTCCGAAGCCAGCGTGAAACCCCTACCTGCGGCCAGCAAAAACCTACAGTCCCGAAGCTCTTAATTACCACGAAACCCCACACATGTCCCATTCAAACCTACAGGCTAGCCCTAAACCCCTAGACTCCCTATTAAACCCTAAACCCCCTAAACCCTAACCCCTAACCCCTAAACCCTAAACCCCTAAACCCTAAACCCCTAAACCCTAAACCCCTAAAACCCTAAACTCCTAAAACCCCACACCCTAAATCCAGCCCACGAGTCTGAGCCCTCGAGGCTCCCCGACCTGTCCACAGAGTTGGTGGATCAAGCTTTTCGCTGCAGGCGTCATGGCCTCTCTTCTTCAAGAACCGGGCCCAAAAAACTTCAAGCGCTTTAGTGACCTAATACCCTAAACCCTATACCCTAAACCTCATATGCGGCCAAAAGGTTTAAAGTTCTCCCATTGGCCCTAAACCCTATTTTTTACAGCCAAAAAGTTTAAAGTTCTCCCATTGCCTATCGAAGTGGCCTTCGGGAAAGTCACCTTCCCGATGCCCTGTAGGACCTGAGGAAGGTCCCCAGTTCGGGGCTTTGGGCTTTGGGGGTTGAGGTTTGGGGGTTTGGGGGTTTAGGTTAAGGGGTTTAGGGTGTTTCTGGGTTTGGGGTTTAGGGGTTTAGGGGTTTTAGGGTTTAGGTTTTTTTTTGGGTTTGGGGTTTTAGGGTTTAGCGTGTTTTTGGGTTTGGGGTTCAGGAGTTAAGGGCTTTGGGGGTTTAGGGGTTTAGGGTGTTTCTGGGTTTGGGGTTTAGGGGCTTTAGGGTTTAAGTTTTTTTTTTGGGTTTGGGGTTCGGGAGTTTAGGGCTTTTTTTGGGGGGGGGTTTTGGGTTTAGGGGTTGAGGGTTCAGAGCTTCGGGTTTGGGGTTTAGGGTTTAGGAGTTTAGGATTTGCGGTTTAGGGGTTAGGGTTTCGGGTACTTGCGCGAAACGGATGGCCTCTATTGAATAGGAGCGTTGAAGCACTGTTGAAAGATCTTTCTCGCTTGGAAGAACCGGAGCCGTGCCTCCAAAACCTTTTCCTGCTCGATGATTCTAACTGCCCACTTAGAGTATCATGAGACTTAGTAACTATACTTATAACCCCAATTAGGGAACTTATAACCTTACTTACTAAGTCCCATGATCCTCCAAGCAAACCCAAGCCCCAGAAACTCGAGGCCGCAACGTTTTTGTAGATCTGGATCGGGTATGCAGCCTGAGCACAAGATCGAACCCTGAAGCGCGGATGCGAACTCCAAGCGCTTTGGTTTCATAATCCGGCGTAAGCTGCAGAGAAACAGGACACGGACACACCAAAAATACGGATAAGAGGCAGCTACAAACACGAAGTCCTGAAGTTTTTATATTGCACAGAAGCCATAACCATGCCAAATCAAAAATCCCGATTTCCTTCGGTACCCTGACGCCCCAGCCCTGGTAGACTATGTGTTGAGAAAATGAAACGACTTGTTCCTGGGTCATGCCTTTCGATGCAACAACTGAAAGCGGGGCACTTGCTCTGAATTTTCAGAGGCTGCCATGTCCAGCCCGATACAACAAGTCGAAGTTGCGCAACCGACTGCACGAGGGCAGATAGTTCATGCGAAGCCCCCAGCGAAGGAGACCACCAACAACCGTTTGTCATCATGCAGCGACACAAGAGTTGAAGAATGCAGCATAGAAGTCGAGGAACCATAATGTAGGGGCCTTAATAATTAGAACAGGGTTTCGGGCTCCTTGATAGTATAATCATAATAAGGAACCCCCAAAATAGTATAGGTACTTATTTAGGCCCCTACATTAAACAGCACTGTAGCACTGGGGCACCGGGACATGGTGTATCCGACTCAGAAGACATCACAAGACTGGTACCGTCAAACTACAAAAAAGTATAAGGGTTTAGGGTTTAGGGGTTTAGGGTTTAGGGAAGACAGCTGTTCAGAAAACTTGAAATTGAATGTACAGCAGCTATCAAATGGCGATGCAGCGCACAGCGGTGTGGTGTCACAAACATGTGGTGTAGTATGTCTCCTGTAGGCTTAGATTCGCGGTATAGGCTTCGGACTTTTAGTTTAGATGTTCTCCACCGCCTTTTAAACTCCTAATTCCTGTAAACCCTCAAAACCTCAACCGACGAGCCCTCAGACCCTGTAAAATCTCCGAATCCCCGCAAAACCTATAAAACACATTAAAGCACACACACACACACACAAACGCTTAGAAGGTCGTAAAGCAACCTCAAAGCCCTCAAAAAAAAACTTAACCCTGGAAAACCCTATAGCATCATCAACAAAATCTACCAACCCCTTTACATGAAAATGAAAAACAGCCAAGTCAACCCTTTGAACAAACGCCATGTAAGCAAAAGTATACTCATCCAAAGGCATAGCGATCTATTAACCCCTGCAGAAAGCATAGCCCTTAATCCCTAAACCCTAAACCTCTTCGCAGTTGGCAACCCGAGAGCCTCGAAAGGCGGGTTACCAGCGAGAAGCTCAAAGGTCATGACTCCCACCTAAATGGGCTGTGTAAGGGTTCCTTAAGGGTTTAGGGCTTATAGGGTTTAAGGTTTAGAGTTAAGGTTTCGTTTCAGCGTTTAAGGTTCAGGGTTTAGAGCTTGGCTCTGTAAGGGTTTCTTCCGGGTTCCTGTGGGGCATTCGTCAGGGTGCTTTAAGGGTTCCTGCCTCCTTTCGGAGCTCTATAAAGACTTTATACGCGAGGGCTTTAGGTTTTGAGGTTGATATTGGGGACAGTTAGCCCTCTTTTCGGCAAACTTAGAGCATACCTGTGCTTGAAATACATGTAGATCAATGCCTCAGTTGCCTAAGAGTTAGGCGAGGTTCAGGATTAGTTGGTGTTCTTGATTTTGTCAGCTCTTTTTTCCTGGGATTAGGGGTGTGGCTTCGGGTTTGGGGTTTAGGGTATGTACCCACGTGATCCTACGTGTGCTTCGGGCTTAGGATTGAGGAAAGCGAGATGATACTCATCAGGTCACGAACATGTGTAAATGTGCTTATGGTCTTCCTTAGAAACATGACTGCTGCCTTCTACCCTAAACCCTAAACCCTAAACCCCTCAATTGGTGAATTCTCTCTGCCCCTCGTCTTGTACGACTAATCAATTCTGTGCTGGTTTGTACCCATGCTGTGGCTCATCTCACACGAATGTGGCATATAAGCATATATAGACAGAAATTCCATGCCGTTCTAGCGTCGTGTGTCTTGTCGTTGCATTAACGTTTTGCAGAGTAGCAGTGTGGGTACGATGCCTTCTGCTAGTATTGTGGCCTGTACGCTACTCGTCTTCTGAGCAATACTCGCACGGTTCTGTCCCTACTACTACTAAGTTCATTGCAACGTTTCGAACCATAACATCGCCTTGCCGGCACACCCGAAAAAAACCCATTCTGAACTGCTCCACTCCGGGAAGAGGTTCACGGTGTAGAGGGAGCTTGGGTTGAGACTTCAAAGGCTATGGGTTAAGGGTTTAGGGTTTAGGGTTTAGGGTTTAGGGTTTAGGGTTTAGGGTTTAGGGTTTAGGGTTTAGGGTTTAGGGTTAAGGTTAAGGCTTAGGAGTCGGCTCGGGTTTAGGGTTTTTTGTTGGAGAGCTCTTTTGCGTCTGCGGGTTTGGGGCTTACGGGGGGACCACAAATTCACGGCGGCTTGCTTTGTGCCAAGTTTATGCTGAGATGCGCCCCACCAATCGACATCGAAGTCGTGGCCGGCCGAAGTAATGATCTGGGTCGGGGCTTGCGACACAAAGCTGGGAGTTTGTTTAGTATAGGTTGAGTTCAGTCGGGGCTATGGTTTAGGATTCTAGGCTCGGGCAAACAATCCTAAACCCCACTTCTAATTCAAACCCTACACCCTGGACCCTCAGTTTGGTCACGGTTCAGGGTGTAGTCTTTAAATCTATGGCTTCTGGTCTTGAATGCAAGGTGCTCGTTTCGAGCTGACTTGTAGCGGTTTGGCTTGGTCTGGCGTGGTAACCACCATCGACTCAATTTATCTCCTGGATTCCCTGTGGCCTGTCTCTGTTGTATGCATACATATTTGGGCGACGTTGCCTTAGACTAAGCAGCGTAGCCGGGACTCCCCAAACCCTAAACCCAACGCGGTTTTTCAGACCTAAACCCTAAACCCTAAACACTAAACCCTAAACCCTAAACCCTAAACCGTAAGAAACTTGCCCCAAGGGCTGAGTGATGGATGATGTGGGGACGTCGGGCTTCGGACTTCTCACGTTTCGATTTAAAGTCTACGGCGTTCACAGGGGGAATTCATGGCCGAGCCGAAAGGTCGTGAGATCATGCTAAATGGGGCCATCATAATTAGAATGGGGTTTTGGGGCCCATTATACTATAAATGTACTAAGGAACCCCCAGACTAGTATTGGCAATTATTTAGGCCCCTATATTATACGTTCGTGCCGGCTGATAAGATCAAACTTTCGCACTGACCCAGGAATCAAGGAATCAACCCAATCCATATTCCATATTCTACTCTATTTATACCAAGGAACCCATCCAAAATAGTACTGGTAATTATTTAGGCCCCTATATAACCCCTATATCAAACCCTGCGATCTGGGGAGTGAAAGCCCTGACGATCCCAAACCTTTGTGACCCACAACTTGGCAAATCTGAAGCTGCAACCACCAGACGTTGACAAAAATCACTGACAGACGGCCCTACAGAGACTGCATGAAAGCATCATTTAGTTTCAGCCCTTGTCAAGCACTCCACCACACAGTATACACCTTTCTCCCCAACTCTCCCTCCCCCCTACGCCGAAAACCTACAACACACGCACAACAAGCCCAACAATCAAGCGAGCTTGCGCCCTGTCCCCAGGCCCACCTCCGGCGGGAAGTAATCGGGGGTGCCACACGTGGTGTACGTCCTCAGACTTGCTGGATTGGAGTTTACGGAGGTTTAGTGTTTAGGAATGCAACAAGGGTCTAAGGCTTTAGGTCAAGTGGAGGGAAGCCATTGGACATATAGATATAGACCCTCTGGAATAAGGTCCCTTTTAAGAGCTTAGTAGGATCAAGAAGGGTACCCTTTACGGGGTCTCCCATATACGACCTATAGGACCTAGGACGCGTAAAGGTCACACTGGCGAGGACCTCAGGGGCTTTATTGAGGGCTACTTGGCGGGGTAGTCCTGCCTCTGACCCTCAGGCCCTAAACCCCAAACCCCTAAACTTCTGGACCCTAAACCCTAAACCACTAAACCTTAAACCCGAAGCCCCTAAACCTTAAACCGTCCTACGCTTTTGCAATCTTGGCGTCTTGTGGACGATGAACTTCGACAAACCGAAATCCTGAGTCAGGCGCGGCGGTTTGTTGAAGAGGTGCAAATGTTGGAGCCTTAATCATTAGAACAGGGTTCTGGGTACACCATTTTAATATAAGGAACCCCAAAATAATATTGGTAATATTAAGGTCCCTGCATTAAGTGTTTGAAGAGGGGGTGGAGGCTATTCGGTCTCGGCGTTCTTGTTTGAGTGGGTATGGGAAGGGGTTCTGTTCTAGATGTACGATGCTGTTGAAGGGTTCTGCTTGGGTTTATGGGCTGGCGAAACTAGTTATAGACATAGAGGGTCCATACGGTTGATGATGATTCAAAATTCTGCATTACCCATAATAAGGAATATATAGCATAATTCCCATAGTTATGGGTCCATACGCAATGCAACTTTTTCTCATCAACAGTAACACCTGTAATTCGTCTGTTGTAAGGTTCGCGCAGGAGCGACTATTGTAGGAGTTCGAGCTTAGGGTCCAGGCTTGTGGGTTGGGGATACGGAAAAAAGGTTTCAGGTTTAGGGGGAACCCCACACATAAAAGGCATGAATTCGAATTGATATCCAACATTGAACCTGAAATTCCACCACAATCGGGTTTAGGATTTAGAAAAAATCCCTCAACCCTAAACCCTAAAAAAGGTTCAAGGTTTAGGGTTTAGGGTAGTTTATAGGGCAAGGACTTGACCAAGGCTCCGTGTCTCCAGCCCACTATGTTTGCAAAGCCGTAGAGGGTTTAGGGAGTAGAGAGTTAAGGGTTTAGGGATTAGAGAGTTTAAGGTTTTTAGGGTTTAGAGAGTTTGGGGTTTAGGGTTTAGAGAGTTTAGTTTCGGAATGTCGAAACTGCATGGTGTGTACGTGTTTAACGCATGAAGAGGCCTGAACAATCACAGCAGTACTCCGCGCTTCAGTGCACACGTACTACGGTCGATGTGAAGTTACAAAGGTTCGGGTTCCGGAGGGAACGGTTCTAACTTACTTAGGATTGCGTGGCTTAGTTTTTAATTGCCGTCAGCCATCAGGTCAGGGCCTTGCACAGAGTCTGCTGATAAATGAAAAAGGCACCCCAAACCCCACACCTGCCCCTCCAGATCTGAGAACTTGCAGAATCTGGGCCTGGAAGGGTGAGGTTCTAAGACGAGAACTATCCGAAATACTATTCTGAAAAGATCTGAACGCATAGCGCGAAACCCCTCAAACTAGAGACAACCCTAAACCCTTCCTCAACCCTCAAACCTAAAACCCCCACATCCTACCAGTAGCACCCTAACGGAAGCACTAACACCCTAAAGGCTAATCGCCCCCAAAGCTCCTATATTTCTCCCTCCGGGTGTCGATGAGCTTCAGCCGGCCCTCGCCCGTGAGGACGCAGTCTTCCGGCTTCAGGCTCCCTCGGAATTTCCGGTTGGGAAATTTGGGGGGTTTATGGGGATCGGAATTCTATAACTATATGTCTGCACATACGCATATGAGTTATGGATGTATGTATATATGTATGCATGTAT